TTCCCTATTTCTGAGTTTGTGTACCCGAAACATGATCCATCCACACATACGTAAGAACTAGGAAGTAAGATGCACTCGTCGGTCCAAGACAAAGGCCCAATTGGACTGGTTCGCTAGCCGCTAGGGGCTTTGTGTGGAACGACATATAATCACCACGTATGGGCCTTCTGGGGCCCATTTGTAGCCCATGTTTCTCCACTCAGGAAAGTGGCAGAATACACTATATATATATATATATATATATATTTCACATTTGTATTATAGAATTTAAACTCTTGGATGGGGCAAATACCTATTTTTAACTTTTTATCTTAATAGATTTGTAGATTTTTGTCCCTCATCTTATACTAAAACACTTTTAACTCTTCACCTATACAAATTGAAAAAAACAACCCTTATTTAATGCCTTGTTAGTTGATTATTAGTTTTGTTAGTTGATTATCAGCATCCCGTTATAGAAAATATAAAATTTAAATTCAATTTTATTTATTAATTCCGTTAATAAAATGTTAACAATTAATTAACATAATTAATAATTAGTTAACATAATTAACAGTAAGTTAACATAATTAACAATCAACTAATCGAACTAACAAAATGTTACAACCTAACATTAAGTAAGGGTTATTTTCTTCGATTCATATAGGTAAAAAGTTAGAAGTATTATAGTATAAAGTGAATGGTTAAAATCTACGAGCTTACTAAGGTAAATGGTTAAAAATAGATTTTTTCCATTAGATGGAATTAGCCTCATTAATATTAAAAACTATCTTCTCATCCAACTGTTCTTGATTTGTAGTTTAATACAATTGAAATTGTAAAACAAAAAAAACGTAAATAATTTTATATTAATAACTGAATCCAGCGAAAGTCCTACTTTTTCAATTACTATAATATTGCAGTCCAATGCAAAATCTTGAACGAGTGTAAATCCATATGAGTACCTATTTTGCTTTATTTATGTAATCATTAAAAAAAAAAGGCAGTATCATGCTTTATGCATGAGTGTGACCGGTTAATATTGTTCAAGATTTCAAGTTAGGTCAATACATTGTGCATGACATTGCTTTGAGTGTAGGCAAAGTCAATTGCTGTTTAGAGAAAAAGGTTTGTGTCTCCAGCACATGCAAATGCAAGATTCTTTGTATGACAAAGAAAGTACTGACATCCAAAAACGCAAAATGTTTAAAGCAAGCAATTAAAAAGCAGCACTGCCACTTCCTTTTGAAAGTACTTAAAACACTTATATAATTTAAATTGTATTGAGTTATAAAATATTATAAGATAAAGATCAATTAATTTGATATAATTTAGTTAGTGTCACTTTATACTAAAAATTATATATGGAATTCTATGCAACTTAAAACTTTTCATGGTTCAAACTTTTTAGAATTATAGTATATTTGTGAATGATCTAAATAATTTAATATTCATCTTTTTTTACTGAAAGTAAGAAACCCTGAATTTGAATCGTATGACATGTGGGTGGAGTAAGATAAGGGATGAAAAATAATTATCTCTTATTGTGCAATCAAGATAAAAAAAAAAAGAATTATAGTATATTTTGTCTTTATACCATTTCATTATTGTTAAAAAAAATTATATATTAATTTTTTAAATTGCAGTTAACCCTATAATATATTAACAAAACTTCTCTTTTTTTGTGGAATTAAGAGTTCTTATTGGATTTATATAATATATGACTGAGTTAGATAAAAAAATGTACTACACTTGCTTTCCATTGTGTCAAAAAAAAAAAAGAAAAAAAAGAGGAGGCGAAAAAACAACCCACAAATGCAATCTTCCTCCTGGATTGCCAGAGTTCCTCAAAAGGTAATAGAGTTAATAACCCTTTTCTAAGTAATTAAACCAGTTGGCAAAAAAAGAGAGGGTATTTAAATCCATTTCATTTTCTTTTCCACATATCCTCTATAATCTATATATATATATATATATATGTTTGTGTGTAACCCCTCAATTAATTAACCAAGCAATTATATATCTGTCCAAAATTCAGAGCCATGGCTAACTTTTACCAGTCTTCTCCTTTTCCTCCTTCCCGCCTATGTTTCTTCCTCCTGATAATTGTTTTCTTACTGGGATTTTCATGGTACGTGAACTATGAGCCGGTGGTGGAGAGCGTGGTGGGGCGGGTGAAGCTGATGTTGATGGTGTCACCACTGATACTCCTGTTACTGGCTTTCCAACAATCAGAGCATCATTAGCTTTTTCTATCTCCTCCCTCGGCCGGCAAAGGACTCTCTTCATAGAGCTGGAGGGACCCCATGGGGAGTTGGGTTCTTGCTTGCGTTTCTGCTTATTATGTTGTCTTACAAGTCCGCTTTCCAAGGACGCTGGTTTCCTCCTCTTGGTAGATGATGTTTATGAAATCATTAAAATTATTTTTTCTTTTTTCAATGTAATTCCAAAATATATGTAGATTTTGTTGGCTACTCGAGTTCATTTTTGTCCCTTTTTCTTTTCTTAAAGTAGAAAAAGACATTCTTTAATCATAAAAATGAGAACAGGATTCATATAATTTTAGGGGGTCAAAGCCATGTTATAATTGTAGGGGTGGGGAAGGAAGGTCTGGTGGGGATGGTTTCCATCAACTAGTTAAAAGTGGTTCCTATATATGCCACATAGGATCCTTGTGACATTGAAGGGGTAATTGTTAATGGTAGGGTATTCGTGGCGTAGTTTGGTTCAAATTTTAATATTTTTTAAATCAATCTAATTTAATCGGTTAATATAATTTTTAAACTAATTCAATTTACTATTATATGATAATCAAACCAATCTAACTTAAATCAAATCGGTATGGTTTAATTGGATTGATCAGTTTTTATCATTATTGAATATATGAGATAATGTAAAAATATTTTAACATCAAATAGAAAATATAACTATAAAACACATTAATATCCAAATTAGTAAAAACATAATAAAATGTATAAATTATAAATAAGTTTTTATACTCATTTACATTTGTAAAACCAACGAGGGGTTGGATCAAGTGGTAAACGG